TGGGACCCCCACAGACCCCCTGGGACCCTCAGCACCCACAGAGACCCCCTGGGACTCCCACAGACCCCTGAGACCTCCTCAAATCCCCCCAAACCCCCTCAAATCCCCCCAGTCCCCCCCAAACCCCCTTCTAGACCCCCCAAACTCCCCCTCAACCCTCCCCAAACACCCCCAATCTTCCTTGAACCCCTCCCAAATCCTCCCTAAACCCCCCCAAACCCCCCTCAACCTTCCCCAAACCCTCTCCAAACCCCCTCCAAACCTCCTCTAAAAACCCCCAGAACCCCCTCAAATCCCCCCAGTCCCCCCCAACCCCCCCCTCAAACCCCCTCAAATCCTCCCAAACCCCTCCAACCCCCCAACCCTCTCTAAATCCCCCCAAAACCCCCCAAATCCCCCCAACCCCCCCTCAAACACCCCCAGCCCCCCTCAAACTGCCCCCTCAAACCCCCTCTAATGCCCCCAAACCCCCTTTAAACTCCCCCAGCCCCTCTCAAACCCCCTCCAAACCCCTTCAAACTTCCTCTAAACCCTCCAAATCACCCCAAACCCCCTCAATTGCCCCCAAATCCCCCCCAATCCCCCCCAAACCCCCCTGGTGTGACCTCATGGCGTTCTTGAGCAGCTCAGGCAGGACGTAGTCGAGGGGCAGGGGGATGAAGGGGAACCGAGCGGCCACGTGGCCGTTGATCCGGACCCGCGGCGCGTTCCCGTACTGGTGCTCACACAGGCGTCTGGGGGGACATCAGGGTCACCTCAGGGTCACCTCAGGGTCACCTCAGGGTCACCTGTGCCACCCCTGAGAGCCCCTGGACCCTCCTGTCCCCTCCTGTCCCCCCCTGTTCCCTCCAGTCCCCTCCTGTTCCCCCTGTCACCCGCGGCGCGTTCCCGTACTGGTGCTCACACAGGCGTCTGGGGGACATCAGGGTCACCTCGGGGTCACCTCAGGGTCACCTCAGGGTCATTGGGGTCACTGGGGTCACCTCTGTCACCTCAGGGTCAGCCCAGAGAGCCCCTGTGCCCTCCTGTCCCCTCCTGTCCCCTCCAGTCCCCTCCTGTCCCCCCTGTCACCCGCGGGGTGTTCCCGTACTGGTGCTCACACAGACGCCTGGGGGACATTAATGTCACCTCAGGGTCACCTCAGGGTCACCTGGGTCACTTCTGTATCACCTGGGTCACCTCAGAGTCACCTGGGTCATGTCCATCATCTCAGTGTCACCTGGGTCACCCCAGTGTCACCCCAGTGTCACCTCAGGGTCACCTGAGTCTCCTCAGTGTCATCTCAGGGTCATCTCAGGGTCACCTCAGGACCACTTGGGTCACCTCAGGGTCACCCCAGTGCCTCCTCAGTGACACCTCAGTGTCACCTTAGGGCCACCTTTGTATCACCTTGGTCACCTCTGTGTCCTCAGTGACACCTCAGTGTCACCTCA